ACTTTGGGCAAGCGAACTATTCAGCGGCGAATGCATGTCTGGATGCCCTTGCATCTTGGCGTCGCTCGAACGGTTTGTGTGGTCAGAGCATTCAGTGGGGGCCGTGGATCGAGCAGGGAATGGCAGCGCGGCTGCGACACGAGGTGGAAAAGCTGGGCCTTCGTGGAATAACGAACGAGACAGGCGTGCGTGTGTTGGTGGACTGCCTGCGCGGAGGCGATTTGCCAGTTCCGGTGCTATGCCAGGCGTTCAGATGGAAGAAATACAGCGAGCAGTTTGACGTCATGCCCCGCCTCTTTGAGTACGTGGAGTTAGACGTCACTACGCCTGCAGCGTTGCGTCAGCTGTACAGCTCGATGACCCCTGATCAACTCAAAGAGCACGTCACGAAAGTTGTGGTGGATACGGCCAGGCAGGTTCTGGGAGCCACAGAAGTCCCACCGCTGGATTCGCCTCTCCAAGAATTAGGGATCGACTCCTTGGGGGCTGTGGAGCTTCGTAACGGTCTTGCCCAGAGGCTTGGGGTCAAACTCTCGGCAACAACGCTGTTTGACTACCCCACCATTGGCGCCATCATCAACTATATCCAGGAGCAAATATCTGGGAACATTACTCCTGGAACGTCTGAAATCGCAACGTCTGCCATGCCAGCGGTGGTGCAAACGCAAGGACTGGCCATTATTGGAGCTTCCTGCAGACTTCCTGGCCGGAGCGAGAACCCTGCTGCGCTTTGGGAGATGCTGCTCAGGTAAGCATTACTTGGACTAACGCATATATATGCCCCGCCTAGGGGGCTTGCGCGCTGATGTAAGGTGCACGGTAATGGTGTAGCGAGGCACGTTCCCCTCCTCCCTATTGGCCATACGGCTTCTGTGAATGCCCCTCTTCTTCGAATTTGATATCGCTGCGTTCCCGTGCAGGGGAAAGGACTGCGTCTGCGAAATCCCCTTGACGCGTTTCGACGTTGACCTCTTCTACGATGCTGAAATAGATGCCAAGGGTAAAATGTATGTTCGCAAGGCAGCGTTTGTAGAGAACGCCGAGATGTTTGACAACACCTTTTTCAACCTGTCCGCGGCGGAAGTCAATTACATGGACCCACAGCAAAGAATGGCTCTAGAAGTTGCGTACGATGCTTTCTATTCGGCGGGATATTCTCGAGACACGCTCTTGGGGAAGTCTATGGGGGTGTGGATTGGCTGCTGCAACTCGGACTGGCACTTCCTGGAGCAACAATCGGATCCTTTTAAAAGCAGCAGTTATTCGGGCCCTGGCGGCTCTGGCTGCTTGGTTTCGAATAGAGTTTCTTACGTCTTTGGGATTAACGGCCCCAGCATGACGATCGATACGGCGTGTTCGTCTTCGCTCGTGGCTATGGACTCGGCATTCCAAGGCATTCGACTGGGGTACTGCAGCGGGGCCCTCGTAGCGGGCATCAACTTGATGCTCTCGCCGCAGCTTTTCCTCGCTTTTTGCAAGGCACGCATGCTTTCTCCAGAGTGCCGGTGCGCAACTTTCGACGCCGCTGCAAATGGATATGTGCGTGGAGAGGGCGCCGGAGCGGTGGTTCTAAAGCCTGTTCAGGAAGCAGAGGCTCAAGGCCAAAGGATTCTGGCTGTCCTAAAGGGCACGGCGGTGAGTCACAATGGCCGCAGCGCGAGTCTCACGGCACCCTTTGGTCCCATGCAGCAGGAATGCATGAAACTCGCCCTTCGGCACTCGGACGTGAATCCCAGAGACGTTCGATACATCGAGTCGCATGGCACAGGAACTTCGCTCGGGGACCCCATTGAGATGGGAGCCATTCGCGCAGTTTATGGCGCGAATAGAACCGAAAGCAACCCTCTGATCGTGGGAGCCCTTAAGTCGTATATTGGGCACTTAGAGGGAGGAGCCGGCATCGCGAACGTTCTGAAAGTACTTGTGTGCCTCGGTAAACGTTCGGTGCCTCCGAACTTGCACTACACAACGCCGAACCCCTTCATGGATATCGAAGGGTTCCCTCTTGTGCTCCCGACATCCGTCATTCCTCTGGAACCGGCAATGAATAAGGCTAAAATTCTCGCAGGCACCAGCTCTTTCGGATTCGGTGGCGCGAATGCGCATGTAGTGCTCGAAGAATACATTCCAACTGGCGGAGCAGTTCCCACTTTCCACAAAGACGGCAAGAGGAAAATCGCCTTCTTCTTTACCGGGCAAGGAAGCCAATACCCGAACATGGCCAAAGAACTTTATGAACAAGAACCTGTATTTAGGGCTGCTTTGGAGGAATGCAACCAAGTGTTAGCCGAATGGCTCCCCTACCAGTTGGTGGAAGCGATGTATCCGCTCGCAGGAAAGCCTGAGGGACCGTCCCTGCAAGAGCAAGCGCTGTACGCACAGCCAGCAATATTCGCCTTGGAGTACTCTCTTCTGTGCGTTGCCAAAAGCCGAGGCCTGGAGCCAGACCTGGTACTTGGCCACAGTATCGGAGAATATGCGGCAGCGGTGGCTGGAGGCATCATGAATTTGAAGGACGCCCTTTGCCTGATTGTTGAGAGAGGAAAGATCATGCAGGGCATTGATCCGCGTGGGGGAGTTATGGTGGCTTGTCGGTGCTCACAGGAGGATGCTCAGAGGGCCATTGACGGCCTTGGGAATTCTGCAAAGACGGTGGAGGTGTCGGTCATCAACGGACCTCGAAGTATTGTGCTGTCTGGTCAGGAGGCAGAAGTTCTTCAAGTTGTGGGGGCTCTGGGCGTCGGAGAAAAATACAAAAGACTCAATACAACTCATGCTTTCCACTGCAGTTTGGTTTCCGATGCAGTGGAGCCCATGAAGAACGCGCTCCAAGGGATTGAACTCACAGAACCGACTGTAACGTTCGTGTCAACGGCCTTGGGCACGAGGGCAACGACTGAAGTCTGCACGGCTGAATACTGGGCACACCAAATTACGCGTCCGGTACAATACATGCAAGCACTGCAGACAGCAATTGAATGCGGCACCTCGATCATTGTTGAGATTGGCCCCAGGCCAACGCTCATTACAATGGCGCAGCAGTCCGTAAAGACGTCCGATGTTTTGTGTGTTTCACTCCTTGATCCGAAGGCATCAGATATGCAACAGGTTTCAGAAAGCATTGGCGCGGTCTTTTCGAGCCATGAGCGCCAGCACGAATGGAAGCGGCAGGCCTTCCCATGGTTCCGGCTGACAACGCCGCTGGTGGACAAGGTGCAAAGCGAGAGCGCCGGTCATGCCACAGCTAAAACCATCTTGGACAGTCATGTCTTAGATCTTCTGCAAGATCACGTCGTTAACCAGCAGCCCATTATGCCTGGCGCGGCCTTCCTGGAGATCATGAGCAGTGCAGCTTTCATGCACCTGGACGGCAAAATCCCCAGCACGGCAACTGTGCTTACGGACGTGGAATTCGATCGTCCTATGAGCTTGCTGGACCCCGAGAGCACACAGATGGGGCGCGAAACAAGCTTGGCTGTTCTGGTCACCCTTAATAAGGAAGAGGTTCAGGTAAAGAGCCACGTCGAGGAAGAGGATGAAGCCGTTATCCATTGTCGGTCATCAGTACGGGTTGCTCCTGCTGCAAGTGTGTTCGACATTACGGAAGGCTGGGACTTTTTGGAGGCCGCTAAGAAACGCATACAAGAAGCGGTTCCTGTAGAGGAGCTCTATAGGGTAATGGCGCTGTGTGGCCTTCAGTACAAGAAGCGATTCCAGACTATTCGGGAAGCCTACAGGACTGCGAGCGAATGTATTTGCAAGCTGCAGCTCCAAGGGCCTCTGCTGCCCTTTGAAAGCCTGTTTCGCTTTCATCCAGCTCTGATGGATGGTGCACTTCAATCGGCTTCCTTACTGCTGGACAGCATGCAGTCCACGCGCCCTATGGTTCCGGTAGGCATTCGCAAGGCAACGATGGTAAGACTGCCACCAGACATTCCTGTCTGGTGTCACTGTACTCTTAAGAAGAAAGACGCGAGCAGCGCTGTCCTCGATATTACGATCTATGGAGGTAAGGGGCGGCCGTATGCAGCCCTTCAGGACCTCTCGGTACGGGTGGTAGACTTGACGCAGCGCGCATCCATTCCCAGGAATTTCTTGTGGGATGTTAAGTGGCGTTTGCGATTTCCTGAGGGAGACGAGGCAGCTGTAGACACCACAAAAACCGAGGGCGAGAGCGCTTCGTGTAGTGAAAATCGGGGAGAGCAAGATGACATCGAGACTCGTACAACTTCCCCTCAGTCGGATCCACCACCGACCCGCTCCCTGCCGATTCTGTTGGTCCGTTGCCCCTCGACGTTCATGGAGGAAGTGAAGGGGAAATGCACGGCGTTTCCTTTCCACGTGGCCTCGGCGGAAGAAGTGCAGGGCAGCCTGGCCACAAGGGGCTCAGAAAGCAAAGTCATGAATGCGATTGTGTACATGGGGTCTCTTGATACGACCGTTTCCGAAGTGGATTGTATTGCGGACTGCATTCTCATAGCCAAGGCGCTGGCGCAAACGCCAGCCCACGTCGAAATCCCGCCAACGTTCATTCTTACCGCTGGTCAGATTCAAGCCGTCGAAGACGACGTGGTAGTCAGTCCAACGCATGCGGGTGTCTGGGGCTTCTGCCGTTCGGCCCGCCTTGAAGTCGAAAACACGATTGGGCGACCTGTACAGCTCGGCTGCCTGGATGTCTCCCCAGAAATAGCCGCTGAGCCTGCCAGTTTGGCAAGCATTATTACGCAAGTCGTGAGAAGCGCTTCTTCGGCACCCTCAGAAGTTGAACTCTGCGTTCGGAAAGGCAAACAATACGTGCCGCGTCTGACAAAATCCCCTGTCGAGTGTCGTGGCTCACTGGAGCTGTACATGGGCAATCGTGGAGCGCTAAGCATGCTCAAGCTGCGCCCCCTCCCTGCCGCGTGTAGGATGGCCCCTCCTGAAGGATGCGTGGAAATACGCATTCGCGCGGTTGGACTGAACTTCAGAGACGTTCTCAACGTCATGGGTTTATATCCAGGAGACCCTGGCCTGCCAGGAGCCGACTGCGCTGGCACGATCGTGCGTGTGGGGGCAGGGGTGACGAGATTCCACGTCGGAGAAAACGTGTACGGAATAGCGCCTGGCTGTCTCCGCAGTTTCGCAATTACTTCTGCCGAACTCGTCCGGCGCATGCCGGCGAACTACGCATTCGAAGAGGCGGCAGCTCTTCCTGTCGTGGCTGCAACTGTGGAGTACTCCCTAGGAGACCTGGCCAAGGTCAAGGCAGGCGACAGAGTGCTCATACATGCTGTCACAGGGGGCGTGGGAATCGCTGCCATTCAGCATTGCCAGCGCGTAGGCGCCATCATCTACGGAACCTGCAGCGGTGGGCGCAAGGCGGACTACGCCAAAACGTTGGGGGTGCAGTACATTACGACGAGCCGCGATGCCTCAGTCTTTGCGAAAGCCATGCGCGAGTTCCTGGGGCCAGAAGGGCACATTGACGTTGTGCTGAATACGCTCATCGACGAATACATTCCGGAGTCTCTGAAGCTGCTAGGGCCGAATGGCCGCTTCATGGAACTGGGCAAGCGGGGCATCTGGACGCATGAACAAATGAAGGAAGCGCGACCTG